GGGGGGGGGGGGGGGGGGGGGGGGGGGGGGGGGGGGGGGGGGGGGGGGGGGGGGGGTCAGTTTTTTATTGTGGCAAGGCCTTTTAACGGCAACAAGCAAGGGGCGATACGATTCCATTGCAACACTTGGGTTCGGCCGCCACACTCTCAGATGGTCTAGTCTGCGGTACATACTACGGTGCACAACAGCCAAAAGAGAATCCGGGAAGGATGAGCACGATAAGCGTGCATGGTGTAGCGCGGGCACTTGAGCGTTGACTCAGCCACAAAACAAAGAATACAGCCGCCGCGCGTACGCAGACTGCGAAGGTGCACACAGTGAGGCTGGCTGTCTCCGAGAACGTTGAAAGCAAGAAACCTGCGCCTACAACACGATCGGTGGGCGAAGATGGCGCATGAGGGTGGTCGATGCAACCGCTGCGGGCATCCAAGTACAAAAAACAAACAAATAAATACAAATACAAGGGATGTTCCAACTTTCCCCGTAAGCACGTACAGTCGCTGGTCGATATGGATTTCTCTTCCACATCAATAAAAGAAAAAAACAAGCCAACTCACGTGATATCACTCTCCTTGAGCTCGTAGTGGAGGGAGCCAACGTAGATGCGCCTGGGATTGCTCTGACACGAAAAAACGCGCATTGGCGAAGGGCCGGAAACAGGCGAGACACGCGCTCAGGATAAAGTTGCCTTCAGCACAGCAGTCTTACGTAACAGCGCATCCTTCTCCCTGGGTAACGAACGCTCTGCCCAGGCGATGGTGACCGCGATACTAATCATAGCAGGGTCCCCTGGGTATTTCGCTCTGCAGCAAGGGAGCTTGGAGGAGGTGGTGCTGCCTGGCGTCCCCTCAGGTCTGAGGGGCTTGAGGCATAAAATCTTCCCCAAGATGTCCCTAAAGGCCCCGTCAAACACACACACACGCAACAACAAGGCACGCGGCGAAGAACCGGCACGCGAAGCACCCACCGAAAAGACGAGGAAAGGACACAAGCACCCACGGTGTTGAAAGCACTATGCACATGACATCTACGGAAAAGATAGGGAAGCATTCGATTCGAAGGTGTTGGCCAACTCAATGTGTACGCAACGCAAAGACCGACCCGAAAACCTACACCACCACTCTGCGTTTATAGATGCAAACGTCTCCAACCAGAAGCGCGATGCGACCACCGAAAGTCAAACGTCTAGGTCAACACACCTCGCCGAACAGAAATGAATACATCCTGTTGAGGCACAAAACATTGAGAGGCGAGAGCAGCAACAGAAACGAACCGAGTTGGGGCTCGACACTCAGCTCAAGGTCTTACCGGCTGAGCAGGGGCAGTCTGCGTCCTTGTTCCAGCCCCTGACGCCTGCATAGCCGCTCCCATGGTGAGACCTAAGGCGGCGGCTCCGGCGGACACCGAGGATACCGGTGGCGCTTGCCCCATCGCGGCCGCCACCTGCTCCTCGGCAAGCTTCCGCTGCAATTCCTGAGCAGCCGGCCCAAGAACAGAGATCAGAGGACCATGCGCCCGCCCACACCACAAGGTGAGCAGAGAAGCAGAGAAGCAGATGAGCAGAGACGGGCGTCAACATCGTCTGGTCTGCGCCAGAATGCAATCTTAACATGCCTCGCGATACTCAAGGAAAAGGGGCCACGCATGGCCACGACAAAGGTCGACTAGTAGGTGTCCAGTACCACGCGTAGTCTGTAGCACTGCGCAGCGTAGTCCGTAGCACTGCGCAGCGCCCGGAACGGCCTCTTTACGCACGTACAGGAAACAAACGGCAAGAACACTACGGATGATGACATTGCCGTTCGGCCAAGTCACGCTCTACTCGCTGATTAAAGGGAAACTACGCCAACAGCAGTGTGTAGGCAGACATGGTATTGTCGCAAATGGAAGTATTATCGTAACGGCAATGACCCCGATACAACCAGTCTAGAGTCACTTAAACTAGCGCGTCAGACATGTTCCCGCCAACAGATACAGCAGTTTTCTACACACCCCGTTGTTCGGCAGAATGTGTCGATGGTTTGCTTACTTTGTGCGAAAACAACCACAACAGCAACAGGCAGAAAACAGCATGGTGCCAAAGCGGTGCTATTGCATTTCCTGTTGCAAATAGCTCATGACGGTCATACAATAGCCGCTTTGGTCAAAAACCTTTTACCCTATCTTTGCCACGGGGAGGAGGGCAGAGATCGCAAGCTCAAGCTGGCACCACCGCCGCGCAGTGCGTTAGAAAAACACGAGGCTACGCACGACTTTTTTTTGGCGGCATCAGATGGACCGCCGGTAGATGGGAGGAATCTATCCATATCAACACCCAGTTACAGCTGCAGCAGCAGACCGCTCGCTACCAATTCTTCTGCTGTCTGTGCGTCGCTACTTCTGCACTCACTCTAGGTGCGTGGTTCGTGCAAAGAGCGGCCCGCAGACCCGCAGGACACAAAAAAGGGGCGTACGCGGCAGAAAAAACGGGGCTACCCCATTATCGTATATTCGGCCGGGCCCCCTGGTGCTGAGCAAAACAAGTTTCCTCAAAGCGGGGAGTTTCCTTAACGCGAGCGTCCTTTAAGCGGGGTCAACTGTAACAATAGTCCAGTCAAAATAGTCAAAACTTAAATTGGTAATGAAAGATCAAGGCCGGACGACGGCAACAGTAAGGGGTAAAAAATTGCACCGAGGAGATCGACACAGACGATGGAGGGCGTGGGGAGGTGCGGCAGGGTGCCACGCCACCCCGGAGGAGAAGGTCGGCAACAGGACGAGCCGGGGCGGGGAAAGCAGATCATGACCAGAGGAAGATTTATCAACCAAGCGTCAAGTTTGAGGCGTGGCCGGCGTGGTGCCAAGGTGTGTGGCCGTGCGGTGTCGGCAGCAAACAGGGAACAACGGAAACCGGCAGGGGCGGGCGGAAAGATGGGAGATACGCGTACGAACACAAACAAGTTGGAGACGGGGAGCGGGAGGGGCAGACGCAGAAAGACCGCACGGAACAGCGACAGAGCAAATGGAGTCCCGGGGCGCGAGAGCAACAAAAGGGGAGCGGCAAAAAGCACAGAAAAAATAGCCGGGGCATCGACACGTCCACAGGAGAGCGAGAGAAAAGCGATACAGAGGCGGATGGTGGCAGATCACCGAGGAGAGGCAGAAGGAAGAAAAGGAAGAAAAGGAAAAATAAACACGGCGGCAAGAAGACCGAAAGAGAAACAAAAACACACGAGCAGGAACAAACACAAGCGAGAGAGAGCAAGTAAGGACGAAACGCGCACGAAGCGAGCGAGAGAGAGCACAGCACAGCACAGCGATTTTGTCAGCCCCAAAAGGAAGGTTGCCCTTTTTACGGTATTTGAAGCTATGAAGCCACCACACAGTACGAAGGTGATAGTCACTCTCAACTGACTCAGCATGTACAAGGAACATAACCCGTCACAATCCACGCTAAGGAACTGCTGATCTGTTGAAGCCGTGAGAATTTGTCTCTTGCCCGTCTCCGTGCATCTATGCTCTTTTGCTGTTTGAGGAAGTGACACACCTCCCCATCGGCTAACCGCGGCTATAGTATTAACAGCCACCACGCACCCACCAGACACCATAGGGAGCTTGCCAAGTGGTACTGCAGCCCAACGTTATGAATGCATACGCATATTTGCATATTTACATTACCCGATTGGTGCCGCCGTTATCAGCGATGGACCCAAAGGCCCCATGTGTGCCGGAGAGATGTCCGGTCCGATCACGGGCCGTCCAACCCATCATCTACAGCAGCACGACCCATGTCAGAAAAATAAAATAAAATCGATGCCCACGGCAGCCGCAGATTCACTACCAAAATCGATGTTGTGTGCTTGTATGCAGAGGCGTTCTGTAATTAAACAAACTAAAAGAGTAGGACCGGGAGGACGGCAGCCAAGGACAGACCACACCACTTTCGTCAGGGATGCTGTAGTCTAGGCTACACGGTTTTTGAAAAAATGAAAACCCGAGATACTGAAACTGCTGTAAAAAGCGCCCGCCACAACAGTCCTTTGTATTCAGCGCACCAACTCTCACCTGCAAGGGGGTCATCGGAACCACAGGGGCCACTGGTGGTGCGTCCCCCCACCCCTTCTTGACCACAGCGCCGGGGGCAGCAGGCGTGTCCCACCCTCCCCGCCGGGTGCGCTTCCTCTTGGGCTGCTCGGCTGCCCCAGCAGCACCGCTCTCCGTGGTCTCCTTGCGTGGCGCACTCGCGGCCGCCGCCGCTTGTGCTAGTGATTTGGCCGCCGCGGCCATGGCCTCGACATCCTCGTTGGTTCCCTCCATCGGGTCCTCCTTGGCGCCGCCACCTTTGGTATCTGATGGAGCATCGGCAGCAGCAGAAGTAGCAGCGGCGGCCGCTGCGGCGGGTTGACCATCGCCGCTTTCGTTGGGAGAAGCTCCGCCTTGCTTGGCTGCGGCTGCTGCCTCCGGAGCAGCTGCTGCTTCGAGTGCAGCGGGCGGTGCTGCATCAGCATCACCCCCGGAGGGCTCCTCAGTCGACGGGTTTTCTATTGTAGGGGCAACGGCAGCATTACCGTTGCCATTGCCGTGGCCGGCGGCGTCGCCGGTTGGCTTGAGGGCAGCAGCAGCAGCATCGTCGTTGGCGGACCCGTTGTTCTTCGCAGGGGCCGGATCCGTGGCAGCGGGGGCAGCAGAACCTTCGGAAGCATTGGGGTCAACAGGTCCCGTGGTCACATCCATTGGCTCGCTCATTGTACAAACCTCTCACACACAGCAATCAAGGTGAATCTGTGTACCAAGCAGGCCCAGCCAGCCAGCAGCGTTGACAGCAGTTGACAGCAGTTGCAGCCGAAAAGGGGGGCACGCGAGCAGGAATTCTATGCACAGCGGATGTACGGGGGCACGCAGTATGAAAACCGATCATGCGCGCCGAACCTGAACCACAGGCCACAGCCAAACCGTCACTCGCAGTCACGGCCTTTCCTCTCACTGCTGCCGAACTCCAGTTCGAGGTCACACGCAAAGAAGTAAAGAAGCTAGTCAACAGACAACGCAGCCCGTAGCCTAACGCGTCCCGTGGGCTTGGCCACATAACATAAATCCAATGCTGCTGCTCCTCCTCCACCCAGAAAGAGGCGCGAAAAAAACTTCATTCAGTAGACCACAGCAGAACTCGGTTATCGACCGTGTTGCTGTTGTTGATTATGTTGTTATTCCAACGTTGTTCGTTTTTGCATTGAAAACAATTAATAGAAACTTGTTTTTCTCTTATGTTGGTCGGTTTCCGAGGGCTCTTTTCTCGAACGGTCGGTGCGGTACCTGTTACTTTCTTTCATTTTGTTTTCTTTTTCCGAGTGGTTTGTACCCCATTTTTGTTTTGTTTCCCTGCGGCGTCGAATGTGCCGGGTTTTGAGACCACGGGCTCCCCATTTTTTGTGGACTATGGAGCTAATGTGAGAAACAGCAACAACAACATGCATGCATGGATTGGCCACTCCAGGCCACTCTCCTTCTCCTCCATCCTCTGATATATCTCGTTCGACTACACAACACCGCCGTCTCTCGGGGGGGCAAACGGACCGACCAAACTGCTCTCATGTAGTGACGGCGACAGAACTACCATTTACTGCACTGTCCTGAAGAACGGCAAGATATGTGAACAATCAAGGTTCGACGAACACGACGCGCGAATACGAAAGGCCTTGTAGGTCGGTGGGACTAAGAAACAAATTAGTACACGTCAACACGAGCAAACAAGTGTCTTGATATCCATCACGTCAAGTATGTACCGCACACAAGGACGACGAAAGGACTTCGTACTTTCGCTGAATAGCAGCATGTATGTAGACAATGATTACGCTGGCCCAATAATATAGACTATGGAGCGAAAACTTCGCGTGCGGAACAGGAGTGCCCTGCACTACGATCGATCATGTTAACATACCAAGAGACGCGACGACGTCCTATGGTAAAGAAGGGGCAAATGGTACGAGCATGACTGCAGCAGTGACTGCCTAGGGGTTCTAGCATGGGCATTCCAACAACAACGAGCAACCTCATGTGAACATACGAAGAGACGCCGACGACGTACTACGCTAAAGAAGGGGCAAATGGTACGAGCATTACTGCAGCAGTGACTGCCTAGGGGTTCTAGCATGGGCATTCCAACAACAACGAGCAACCTCATGTGAACATACGAAGAGACGCCGACGACGTACTACGCTAAAGAAGGGGCAAATGGTACGAGCATTACTGCAGCAGTGACTGCCTAGGGGTTCTAGCATGGGCATTCCAACAACAACGAGCAACCTCATGTGAACATACGAAGAGACGCCGACGACGTACTACGCTAAAGAAGGGGCAAATGGTACGAGCATTACTGCAGCAGTGACTGCCTAGGGGTTCTAGCATGGGCATTCCAACAACAACGAGCAACCTCACCACGACACACAAAGACAAAATGCACACGACCGGGTAGCATTGCCGGACTCTTTTTAACCTGACAGCAACTTCTACACGCCGGCTACAGACTAAAACTTTGTGCTGTGCGTGCTAGGGTAAAATAACACAGAGACCAGCTTGATCGTCGACAGTCTAGGGAGTTACATCGCGCAAGGAGGACGAACCGAAATGCTCGGACGACCTGTACTTCGGCATCTCCTGGCCATTGTGATTATGGCCAAATTACGAAGGAGCCATCTTTGTCGACCGGTGTTCCTTGTCATGAACATTCGTTTGGGATCTTGGAAGCTATCCCCGACTAGCAACAAGCAGTTTCACCATTTTCGAGCCCCACGTCCGGCCGACAAACACCTCTTAAGACCTAAGGCAGCCTAATCCCCACACACCTACACAAATCCGAGATGGTATTCACCATAACCACGCCAACCTACAACTACACTACCCCAGCATCCCCATCGTCTCCCCAGATACTCCCCACGGGCGATTTGCTAGACTTGCTTCGTTGGGATCTTGGGCTTCCCCCGGCGTCGGCCGTACGCAGCGGAGCAGGTCTGATTGCTGGCGTCTGGTCGGCGTCCATGGTGTGAGTGCCCTGAGGGGACCCGGACCAAAAGCGGCGGCGTTTCTCAAGAATGGTTTGGGGATAAGAATCGTTGACAGGACGCACCGCTCTGTAGGTGGGAAGCGCCGCGGATGTGCAGGTAGGTTTCATTTAGACCAGCCGAAATACTTCCTTTCTGGTGGTTCGTTCGTCTTATGTATATCTACCACTTCGCTTGTTTTAGTGCTTCGGGGCATCGTTCGCTGACGGAAGTGAATATTTTCTCGCGCTTCCTTCACAAGGCACGCAGGGGGGTCGTCGGTGCATTGCCGAGCACGCCTGAGGACCGTCAGCCACCCGTGGCGCGTGTGCTTGACGCCCACAGTTGAAAAAAATGGTTCCATACCCCGGGGACGTATTCCGCGCGAAGAAAGACAAAAGTACGTGGTACACAGTAAACAGGAAGACTTTTGATTCCTGCACAGCGCACCCAGCCCCACAGACCACGGGCAACACGAATACTCCATGAGAGCGAGTGATCAAACGTAGCGGATTACAGCAGTAGGACCTGCAGCAAAGACGCCACCAGCGTGGCAGCTCACAATCACGCACACAAGTAAAAAAACGAGAAAGACTACATACCCCGCACATGTGCATACATGATGAAATTCCCAGGCAAATTCTGTAGGTTGCACGCAAAACCGGCATTGCCCAATGTCGTGACGTTCACGTGCAACGATTCGACCGCGATGACACTGGTCGTGTCCTCTTACGTAGCCCTCGGGAGGCAAGCGACCTAACTCCCGAAGGGGAGCCTCGTATCCTTTGCTACACGTCCCTCACACAGTCTATATACCTGAAATTCGGTATTGTCTGTTTGGGGGAATGGCCCCGATTCGAGGGCACACGTGAAAGACGTAGACAGGGGAGTATTTTGTTTTTCTCGTTCGAACGGGTTTCGACAGCTCCTTTTCTCATCACCAACACGCGCTTTTCTACGCAATGCTACAGTACGCACTGCACGATAAAACAAAAAATCCCTTGGCTAGGATTCGAACGCACGACCAAACGAGAATTGAAACTGAAGTTGTCGGGAGGGCGACCGGAGAATTTTCTCGAAAGCAGTAGAGCGCGCGCTTGCGCGCGAACACGAACAGCGCCTAATCCTACAGATATCCCGCTCAGCAGGTCGTCGAGAGAGCACTCACCGTTGTGCGGGGGTCGGTGTTGACGAAGGAACGGTAAGGCGGGGGTTTTGAATGGAAGTTCCTCTGACTTGCGATGTCGTCATCCTGCCCGTAGAGCTGATTGGATCTCTGTTCGAACGCGGAAGGAACAGGCAAAAAAGGCCAAGATGTATTGCACAAGATAGCCCATCGCCTATTGTTGTACGTCTTTGAAGGCCGGGGATAAGCGCGAAAGGAGCACCACGCGTGCCATGCGCATTATTTTCTATCGCACCCGCTGGCTCGCTCCAGTGATCGCCGCCAAACCTCACAAGAGATTCAGTCCATCGACATACTGCTGCCGTAGACGCTTTTTCCCGGGGTTTGCGAAGAGGAGGCCACGGGCGCGTTTGAAGTTTTCTGTGATGCCTCCTGAACTCACATCGGTTGCTCTGGTGATCTTGCCCTTCGTGCGACTCATGAGGTTCAGGAAAAAGATGGTAACCTGTAAATGCATGGGGTAACAGGGGGATCAGGATGAGGATACACCGAAAGAACGAAAGACGTCGAGACGAAGGTGTGCCTTGTGCACGACGCGCATACAAGCAGCTGGCCCGAGTTCACGTCCCTTTACGAAAAATGATGCGCCAACCAAAAGCCACACGCTTTGCGAAACAAACCTTACGAGCTTTTCTTGCCCGGTACACGCGTGTGCGTACCGCCAAGAAACCAACCGGTACAGCCAATGTCCAACTGACTGCTGCAGGTGTTGAGGGGCGATACGGTGCTTCCATCGAATCTACCGCTCGCTGGTGATTGGGGGTGCTCCTTACCACTGAGACGGTGGCGCGGGCGCCGCGGCCGGAGAAATACGTATCAAGCGCGGGGATGACGATGGTCGCGACTGTTGGAGGAGCACCAGTCAACACGAGCGCGGCGGCACGAGTACGAAGGGGTCGGGAGTGCAAGGGAGCGTAATTTTGACACGATCATAGACACTTGTGATGGCGGTGCGATATACCTCTACAACTGAAATACAGCTGGCTTGACGCCAATTGTATACTGGGATTCCCGGGTAACCTAGGAGGGCTGCCCGGCGAGTGGGGTAGGATTCAGTTTCTTGGGTTTTGCCTTGCACCAAGAACGGCACGCCGCAACTGCAACATTCCAGTTTGCAAGCGCTGTAGCACCTCAACGAGGAGCCCGTCGATAAAGTGTACACATACATCTACAATCTGGAGCCTGTGATATACAACGGAATTCAGTTTCAGTCAGAGCTCAGACTCCCAGCATTTCACACTTCAAACATCCCAACATACCGGAATATACTTCGACGAAAATTCTGACAAACAGCATGCCATTCCCATAAGTTCCTGTGGCAGGACAACAGCAGTGATTCCATCTACATTATTAAAGGTTCTGTATGACGCTCTCAACGCCGCAACGCGTGTCAATCCATGCGTGTACATGTTGCACAAACGACAGAGTCCTCTACGACTTACCAGCCAGCGCTGCCGCACTCGCTGACTCCGCCCAGTTGAAGGAGTTGGGCGCAATTTTGCTCGTTCCCACACCCCAAAAGAACATCGCGGGACTGCCAAACAATTTTCGGAAACACATGTTGGCAAGTTGACTGAGTGCACTTCTATCGTTCGAGCATGGTAGAGTTTTTCTACCAGACTCCTTCTGGACCAGCCTTGTACCAAGCCCGAGAGAGGAAGAAGGAAAATCAATCTTTTCTAATCATGAAACCGAAGCGGCGTCCAAAATGTAAGCGGAAAGGACATCACAATCCCACTGTTTTCTCTGCGCTTGCATTCCCAGACATGTAGTGTAGACTAGTCGACCAGCAATTCTCCTGCAACCAAAAGTAAATATGTATTCGTATATCGAATGCAAGGCGCGCCTCTGGGGAGGGCTCATCAAGGCATGATGCGAGATGAGAGTAAAGCTGCCAGCTGCCATCAGTGAACTTTTCAAGCTCGAACAGCTCACACAGCTGATGTCGTACAGACTAAAAGAGCCCAGCAAACCTCAACGAGCCAAATATATTCTTCGGAGAAAATGTTTTCAAAACAAAACTGTATGGTACAATCTTCCATAAAAAAAAGTACAGAACACGCGTAGACTCTAGCGGCTGCGTGGGTCTCTCAAACGTTCTCTTGACTTCGAAACCGTTTTGACCAGAACGCCCTACTGGTATACTATTCACATTCAGCAGACACACCAAACCGTAACGACCCAGTGGGAAAAAATATGCTTGATTTCACGTAATAAAACTCGTCCTGCTCACATTGCGAGGAAGTACTTGGCCGCGGTCTGCCTGATCACAGAGGAAAAAAGGAAAAGTTTGTCGTGTTGAGGGCGACGGCAGGCGCGAACGTCATGGCATTTGACAGTCCTATTGGTATGACCATGATTGTCCCTTGGCAGGTTGTTCATCCGGTTGAGCTGTTTCCCTGCGTAGAAACGATACATTGTTGGCCCGCAGCCAACCAGCCGACGTCCACCACAGCTACCCATGAAGAGTGGGAATGAAACCGGCGGATTGTAACGTTGACACTTAAAGCGCTAGAAATTCACGCGACAGAGGGAACCGTACCTCGCCCTTGTGTTGGTGATTTCGGGATCCCGCTTCACGCTCATGGCGACGCCCCACGACCAAAACGGAGCTATGAAGCAGAGGACAAGCAGAAGGTATAGCGGGCCGTCCCCGCTCTCATCGAACTCAGGCAGCAAAAGCTGGAAGATCTTTGCAATCCAGACGGAAACGAACGCGCGCGTGTTTCAGGCGTTCGGAAGCCATTTGCGATGCCGGCCTTCCCATAGATTATTGGTTTAATGGTTCTTCGGTCAGGCAGGCCATCATCACAACTGCAGTGCCCGTTTTACCCTTACACAGCAAGTCGTGATCACCGCCCGCCCATCATTCGTCCGTCGAAAAGCACCAGAAACCAGAGAACATCAACGTAGACAAGAGCACTTGTCAGGCACGCACGGCAACATGGACGACTACACACTTGGAGGGGACAATATCCTGCAGATCAACACCTCTGGCCAACCTGGATCAAGGTTTCAGAGGCTAAAAAAAAGGCTACATGTGGCGCTATTCCATGTGCTAAGAGGGCTACTCCCCCTCGGAAAAGCTGGACACCGGCGCGAGGGAACGACGATGAACGGGGCAGGCGGCACCAAGCCCGCCTCGAACCGACGCAGTAGCGCTCAGCAATCCTTGAGGAAGTGAGTCCCGAGTGCAAGAAAAACTTATACTATACCATCGAATTTTGTAGATGCTTGTTCCAACGTGTGTGTATGAGGTTCGTCTAGCACGGAGACAGCAAGCTGGGCACACTAGCATGAGACATGCGTTGCATGCTTACCACGATAAGGTTTCCCGGAATGAAGGCTTGGATCTTGGCGGCGACCGTGGAGTCATCCTTCCGCTTGCTTACGTCGGACTGGCGGTACAGACAGCGAAGCACAAGTGAAGGTAGAGAACGGAGCCTTGTAGAACGGCGCTGCCTCGTCACGTTGAGGAATCAAGTCGAAAAACGAGGCAACATCGTTTCAACCCAACGGCTGTGTCACATCTAAAGTACGTGTTGGTACGTGAAAAGCCGCCAAACCCGGGGCGCAAGCGTAGTATCACGCAGTGACTGCCCCGGTTTCTTCAACCATTGGAAGCTCTGGTCATCTTAGTGTCCATGCCAGTGCCGAGGAAGGCAGAGGTTGAGGGCAACGCCTGTGGTGGACTGACTGACTTGTGGAGTTGCCTGGTCAAACCGTTTTCAAGGGGGTCTCGACAATTTGTTTCGACCACCCTGGAGATTAAAGCCTGCTCTTGTCAAGTGTTGCGCGTCATGGCAACGTGATATTGGGAACAGGGGAGTTCGAGCATCGGGGTCTGACGACATTGCGGACCCGCCCAACGATCTCCAGCGTCTGTACGAATAGCATGTCCTCGACTCGATCTTCAACGGGTGAAACTAGCCTTGGATAGGTAACGACAACGGAAGAACAGCTGGAATTCTCGAAGGAAACCCCAGCTAGAATGAGTGGCGACCCACGTCTTTCAGTGATTCGAGCCTTAACCGGAACCCCCACTGCAACATAATGCGTTAGTGTTGTTCTACCCAACTGTAGAGTAAATGTGCCGATTAAGGACCACTTAACGGAGCCCCCGCTCTGAGAGGTTGTTCTCGGGTGTCTTGACGATTTGTGGCGACAAAGAGGTATCGAACGTTAGCTTATACCACGACCTAAACGATGAAACAAAAAAAAAAAAATGCATGTGGTGATGATATGGTGCCAGCGTAGTATTCTTAATTTGTCAGGGAAAAATACCGGTATAACACAAATGCCCCGATTAAGGACCACTTAGAATTCGTAGTGATTGCGCACGTTCTAATGATTTCCAGAACTTTTCCTTTGGCAGGTATCGTTATGGTAGTAATACAAAGCATTTCCGAAAAAAATATTCAATTGAAAATATTTTAAAAAACATGCATGCCCGGGGACAAAAACAAGAAATCCCCGTGTTTTTTTGCCTGTTTTTGGGCCAAAAAAATGGCCTACTTTGGGCACCACGCAGAGAAATTTCAAGTCTTTTTTGCCCGTTTTATCTTCGGCATCGTGGCAAACACCCCTGGAATAGACACCATTCAATTTTTTGTTGTCATCCGGGTTGATTTAGTCTCTATCTGACATACAGACGCGATTTTTTCCCCCATTTGGACGAAAATCGAGGGGGCAACATAGAAAAAAAAGGAAAAAAAAGCGGACGAAAAACTAACAGGCACGACCCAAATTTCGAACCTGACTCGGACTGTAGTCAGAGGAGAGCAATGAAACACTGGACCACCGATTATTCTCCCCGGAAAAACTGCCAATATATAGGTCAATATCATGACCTGGCTTAGCCGGAGCCACCACACAGCACCAAAAAAAAAAAGCATACATCACCTGGCGCAGAATGCTGTGTAGAACGAAGTCCTCCACCAAATTGAGTAAACTTAGGCTTAAATGAAAGGTGAGGTCCATAGCAACACGAAGAAAAAAACAGAAAGGCTTTCCGCGATGGTATCGGCAATATATGTTTTTTTGAAAGAAGTGGTCCCTTATAGGGGGGTGGTCCTTATTACCCACACTTACTCTATGGTGAGCAGATGCGTCGATTTATGGCTCTGGGTATCCATGTCATCACTGCTCGGGTTGTAATTAAGTTCGTTCGCCAAACTCTGGAAGAAACGTCCGAAAGGCCATGAAACAGCAGCCTGATGTCTGGGGGAGACAATACCGCTGCCTGCTGTGTCGCTCTCTCACCTTCAGGCTCGTTGTCTTCTCTTGAACTAGCTGTGCCATGGGCGTTCCCTCCTGAGAATTCGTCGCTCTCCTGAGAGAGGTCTGCGCATGGCTAGTTTCAACCCCCGGGTCTAGGAGGAGGTCGATCTGATGGCAAGTCGGCAGGTTTGCGAGGAACGCAAAGATCGAAAGCCTCGGGTCTGTCAGAATCGTGAAACCTCAGTTACAATTCTGGAAACATGGCAACACATATTGTTCTACATCGAAGGCATCCCGCAAACACTCTGGGCGGGGCGGCGGTTCACCCTGCTCTGGCTCGTTTCTATGTGAGCAGATCCGAAGATTTACCAAAACCAGTTGAGAAGGTGAGGTGTTGGCAAAAACGCCAAAACCTGTAACCAAGGGCAACAAGCAAGCCCCGAGGCACTCTCTTCACTTCGAAGCCAACGTTAACCGTCGCAAATTTACCTTCTCATCGTGAATATCCCTGCGAAACGCGTTGAAAATCGTTTCGAAAATCTGGGTCCGTCCAGACATGATTGCGTGCTCGATGATGCTTCTGTGCCATCCGTCCCGGGCCTCGAGTAGCTTGCGGTACTGCGTTCGAATCAGAGATTTAGGGCGAGCAGGGGAACGAGCCGCAGGCGTGTCTGAAGCCGCCTTGCACTGACAGAGAGCAGCCGGCGCTTTACGCTTGCGATTCCAGTACAGTAGTTTCGAAACAATCATTTGACGCATAATTGACGCAACTGTAGGTTTGGTGCCATAGGCCATGTTGGAGGCGAATTCGGTTCCATTTCTCAACGTTTGGACGGCAGCAATCATTCGTCGTCGGTCACGCTCGACCGAAAGGGGCACACGTACAGTCCAGGGTGCGATGGAACACGCTAGTACTGTACGGCGGGCATTCTAGCACCGAGCATGCCACAACAACAGAACTCCTGCTTTCAAAGACGTGTAATGACTAGGATTCAAGACCGACTGAGCCCAAAAGGTGACGTGAAAGAAAAAAAAACTTCCTTCGAAAAAAACGGCAAGCGGGAGTGTGGTCCGGGACGCGCACCTCGGGCATCCACAAGTTCGCTCTGGCAAACTCCAGCACGGCCTGTATCACCGGCAGCCGCGGATCGAGGACGAACGGTACCTCCTCACTTGCTAGGCCCTCTGCGGGGCCCCCGCCTTCCGTCACTGTGGCGAGACTCTCTCCCGCTGTTGGCGGAGGTTCGGTTTGTGTGCTCCCCCCCCGCCCGGCGCCGGCCGACGGTAGGCGCTCTTTCGGGGGTGCAGTTTGCAAGGGATCAGTAGTGGTGGAACGGGCCGCAGCTTGCTCGTTGCCATTGCCGTTGACGGCGTGATGTAAAATCGTCATTCCGTGCGCATCCGTGGCCCTGATGACCTCCCTAAACTGTGCGCGTCGTCGATGAACGGGAGGACAAGAAGCAAGAAGCCGCAAGCATGACCACGAGAAGAGGACACGCGCATAGCGACGTGCGACGCTGGGCGTCTTTTGTTCGAATGGACAGGTCTAGGAACTACCAACTCGGCAACGGCGAAGGCCGAACCTCGTCGGGCGACACGGCATGCTCAGTCTTGATTGGGCCTTAGCCGGCTGTCTGATCTGTGAGGAACGTAGTCGGTACCGGTACCAAGCCGCCTGCTGTGTGCCCGATCGCGCGATTGAGGGCGGCGCTAGGACGGTGTGGAGCTACAAGTATGGTCCGAAATCGAGGAAATGCTTGAACTATGTTGATGGCGTCCACAACTTCCGCGATATCGGGGGGCGTACAAGCCCCAATGGCAACATGTTAGCTCCTAGCATGCGAACCCGCTCAATCGGAGGCACACTGGCTGCTTGGTGGTCTTGCAACAAGCTAGTGTGACTCACGTTGAACTGGCGCACTCAACTGTGTATTTCTAGTGCTTAGTGTTTACTCACCTGTGAGGGTTGGACAGTCTTCGACAATGCTTGAAAGACGGCCGAGCTAGAGGTGGAGCAAGCGTGCATCAGCAATGTCATTCCCTCCACATCTACCATGTCCAGCTGTTTCTGCATCCCCTTCATTCTGGCGTTCACCTTAAGCAAGTTCGTTTTCCATTTTGGGAAGAAATTTTGCTATATCAGCAGGCAACAAGCCTGCGGCCGGTCTTTTCTTGTTCGTTCAAAACACACGATAGGATTTTGGTACGCCTGTCGCCATCATTCGGCGTTTGGTCACACGGGAGTGTCCAGGTATCCCACTTCGCAGGTGTGGCATGCATACTACAACCAATCGAAGGCACTTGCTCTTTTCCCCGCCGTAGTGATGCCCAGATCCCTTAATACCGCGTCCAGTATCCACGATTACGACGATTCGAATTGGCCGCGCGGTGAGTGTTTGATACCCAAGGTTGCCATTGACAGTTTCATGCACTCCAGGAGTTACTGCCACCTTGTGCCTACAGACCTTGGCGACCCCGTTGAGCTTACCATGTTTTCTTTAACCTCACCCTCCATGAAAACGTCTCCGAAAGCAGCAAGAACAACACCTGCATGGCAACAACATGCAGCGGGCGGGGCCGAAAAGGACGTGGAGGGTAATACCATTGAAGACAAAGCAGCCATATACGTGCGCATACGTAACCTCCGAGGGACAACGGCAATTGGTGAACTCTTGAATGGAGGCAGGAACCATTCGAGCTCTTGATTTGGTACAACGTGTAGTGACAACCGGGAAAGGCAGAAAACACGTTCTAACCTCCGACACATTGCGGAAGCCTTCGAACGCTGACCGTTCTTTGACTTTCGTCTACTGTAAGAGCGTATGGTACACGATTGTGAGGAGAAAAAATACAAACGTTTGCTGGTCATTGTTTTCACCTGTCTATTTGAGCGACCGCCTTACGCCTCAACCTACTTTGCGCACTAGACAGAAACAAGCGGAATTTTTCAGCACTAGATTCGCTTTGAGAACGCTTAACTGGACGGGTTAGGCTCGGACGCGGTCGATGCAGAACAACGCGCTCTTCTATCCAGGTTTCTGGTGGAGTAATATGTATAATCTCGCACCACCGGCTAGCGTTCATCGCCATCGCAATCGCAACATCTCTATGTTATTCGTCTTCAGCAGGCCACAAGTTGAGGGAGGATGGAAAAGGAATCCACCGTAGTAACCGCCAACTAAAAACAATCTTCCTAGAATTGTCGCCCTGGAACCGAAACACGTATCACACTTCGCCTGCTGGCGACGGCAGGGCTATCGAATGTGACTGGGGATGCGATACCGACAGATCAGACCTCCAGCGAGCACAGACAGTACCTGCTGGACGTAGCGAAAATGACATCCATTGACAAACAGTGCCGGGTTGGGCCGTGTGCAACCGGTCGCCCCGGTGGTCTAGTGGTATCCTCGTACCCCGCTAGTCGCAGAGGCCGTGTGTTCGATTCCCCATGGGGTGAAAACTTACAAAATATGCGGGTGAATGCGAAATATTGCTAAAAAGCTCTCGTGAGCACCAAGCCTCGATATTAGCACTGTTGACGAGGGAAAGGGACGGCTGGACCCTTCTCGCGATAAGAAAAGAATTCGCCACGCACCGCGGAGGGAAAGAGAGGCATGAAAAGAAATAAAAAGAAGAAAAAAGCCCTGGTGTTTACCCCCTCCTGTGTTATTGTTGTTGATGTTTCTCACATTAGCTCTCTAGTCCACAAAAAATGGGGAGCCCGTGGTCTCAACACCCGGCACAAACAACGCCGCGGGGAAAAAAACAAAAACAGGGTACAAACCACTCGGAAAAAGAAAACAAAATGATAAAAAGAAAACAACAGGTATCGCACTGACCGTTCGAGAAAAGGGCCCTCGGAAACCGATAAAAAAAAGACAACAACAAAAATAAAGGAGGACGCCCTCCTGTGTGACCCTAGATGGTTGTAGCTGTACGAAAAAATACACTGATAAGTGTAGTACTCTACCACATACGCTGAACAGCGTAGTACACGTCTTTGTTTTTCGCCCCCCGTNCGTTGTAGGCGGGTGTGGGAAGCGTTCCCCGTTCTCCTTTTATTTTATTTTGATCGGTCTCCTCGACGCTCTTTCTCGTTTGGTGCGGTAGCTGGTCTTTCTTTCTATCATTTTGTTTCTCTTCCGAGTGGTTTTTGTACCCTATTTTTTTCTGTTTCTTCGTGGGGTCGTGTATGCCGGGTTTTGAGACCACGGGCTCCCAATCTTTTTTTTTTTAGAGCTATGTGAGAAACAAGAACAACAACAACAAACGTCTCACCACGAAAAATGGGGGGATTGTCGCCATAATAAATAGGACGAAAACACACACACAAACATAACTTTTCGATGCCCCCTCTTCAACACCTCACGACATCGGAAGTGATCATGGCGATGCGTCACCTAGTACCTGCTGTCTTTCACGCGTTTTCGACAAGGATACACATTTGAGCCACCACAGCGGCAAGCGGAAACAAGTGTGGTACGGAACATGGTTCATTTTCATGTTGGCGTTCGAGGCTCGCGCGGGCAAGTGGAAAGCCCCGCTTGTGCTAAACGATTTTTGGTGGGAAACATGGGTCACTTCGCACCTGCATGATTGGTGCTTCTGGCAATATCTGCATGGCCTAAGTCGCTAACTGTCGATGTGTTCCGGTGGTATCGCGCGTGCGGACCCTCCCAGATGTCGGTACGAATTCCCCGTCCTCTAGACGCGTTTCACTTTTAACCGTGGTTCGGCGGCCAGAATTGTACCATAGCTTTCTTCGCGGAGATAAGGGTTTAGGGGTGTATGTACGGAATGTTGGGGCAAAGGCATAACCCGCAAAAAAGTCGCAATATTGCTCCTGCGAGCAGTTGTTATAACACCCCCTTCCGCCCTGTTTTACCCACAACGAAAAAATTAGTCACCAGGGATGGTCAAACTTGTGGGAGGGGGGGGTGGGGGGGTGTACTCATAGTCGTGCATGCCGTAGTCGTTAGACCATTGACCTCGCATCCCTACAAAG